AGAGGAAGAAGAAAAATCGGAGAAGGAGGGGTTTTCAAATTTTTTCAATTATGGAAGATTTTGGAATTTGGTTAGTATTTTGGGATTTGGTATTTTTTACTTTTGGAAAGTAGGCAAAATTTAAGGGATTTAAATTGTAACTTCCCAATTTACCAATTTTAGATTTTAAAAATTAATTAATATTGAAGCATAGATACGAAAGGATATACTAGTAAATTGGGTGATGGGTACCATCTTAAATTGGGTTGTTTCATAACAAAAGTGTAAATTTTATACATTCAATCCTTTTATGTAATTATGATCTCTAAATAGCCTATCAATGTACTAATCCCAATTATTTTTTTTGTTTTCAGATCGACTGAAATATGTCTTTTTAAAACTATTTTTGGATTCTGCGATCCAAACTTGGTAGAAATTATAATTTGTTTCGTGTTATTCAAGAAATCTGAGACCTATTGTAGGAGCGAAGTCGCTTTACCGAGTTTACGAGGKGAAGGAGCGAAGCAGCTTGAGCGATTTCCTAGATTGAATAGCCTTTCGTCATCCTATCAAACGAAAGAGGCTCAGGTGCCTTGAGTGCTGCAGATGGTGCTCATGATGCTGGCAATTCCTGTGTAGCCGGTGGAGGGGTTGAAGCTGTAAACTCTGATGTTGCCGTTTCGACTTACTGATTTGGTGGTCGACAATTGTTCGGACTTGGTAAAGGTTGTTGCAAGATTAGATACCTTGGTAGTCCATGCTATAAACGATGTGTTCGCCCTTGGTCTACGTGGATCAGGGGCTCAGCTAGCACGTGAAACACTCTGCCTGTAGATTCGTTCCCATGGTTTGATCCTTCCTAGTAAAACGCGGCGTGTTCAAATTCTGATCGCTTTTATGCGAGAAAGGGAAAAAAACACAATAAATTATACAACATTTAAAATAATAATTATAAAAATGTTAATAAATTAGTTGATATTGTTTTAGATTAAACTAAATATTTAGTTGATAACTATTACTCGTTTACACAAATCGACTACCAAATACATATCTAAAAACTCTAGAAACAAACAGAGTTTTATTTTCAGATTTAACCAAGCGCACCCTAACATTTTCATCGTGTATTTTTATTGGATAAGCAATTTAGGACCCGTTTCATAATGTTTTTATTTATTGTTTCTGTTTCCACTCTTTTGATAAATTAAAATAAAATTGAATGCCTCCAACACCCATTGATTCAAGAACCATAAAACAATATTTGTATTTATATTTTAAATAAATTGGGAACAGGAACAAAAATAATAGAAATATTTTTTTGTTGTTTTCAAAATTTATATACATTTTTTAAGAATGTTTATAAAAAATGAGAAACGAGAAATAAAAATAGTTGCCAAATGTTTATATTTTTTTAATAAAATTAAAAATGAGAAATAAGAAAGAGTAACATTTTCCTTAGTCTCTCGACTTTAAGATAAATACTTGGCTCAAGGATCATTGTCATCCTCATCATTAAATATTTGACAACTCAATATTATTTATAAAAAAAATTATGTTTTCCATTTATCTCTTTTAATTTTCAAACATTTAATGATGAGGAGGACAATGTCCTTCTCATTGTTGAGGAGCCAAAGTATTTCCCCAACTTCGATATGTAACAAATGGATGATGTTTAAGTAACTAAAAGTTTTTTTTGGGTACGAAATTTGGGGAAATTGACCCATATAAACTAAAAAGTTTTAGGTTTTGCTCGAATGACTCCAAATCAGAAATTTCACGGACTTTTATTTTAATAATAGAAATTAAAAAAAAAGAACAAAAATAAGATGTGTTTGAAACTATTTGCAAATGTAGGTTATAATGTACATTGCACACAATTTCACTAAATTCGTGCCCATGCACACGATTTTGGTGGTCCTTAATTTTGTCCCCACCTTTCCTTTCCAACCCCATTTCTTCAAACTTTATTTTCAAAACTCATCTCCTCCCTCGAT